AAGCTCTGTGGCTGCAAGGCAGGGCAGTGTTGTGGGAAATGCTTGACTCCTCAAAGAAGCTGGATCCAGCACAGCAGGCATTTGAAGATCCTGGCTTGGGTTCCCCTAGCTATCAGCTCCTGGCTCTTCCATCAGCAGTGCAGATGCATCCCTCAGTACAAAATTCCTAGAATCAGATTGTGCATCGTTATTTCATGGTGAACAAATTGAATGAACCGTGCCCTTCTTCAGTGGTTCTCAACCGTGGATAACCCAGATGTTCTTGGAATGCAGCTCCCAGAAATCCTGGGGCAGCACAGCTGGTGCTGAAGGCTTCTGCCCTGAGGCAGCACAGCTGGTGGTGAAGGCTTCTGGAAATTGCGGTCCAAGAACACATGGGTCACCCAAGGTTTGGAAACCACTGCTCTACTTGAAAAGCAGGAGCCTCTACTTTTTCGTGCCCAAGAAGCATGCCTGGTACTGCAGGAGTCTAAATCTATGGCCACAACTAAGCTATTCACCCAATAGCCAGAGACAAAGATTGGGCTTTAAGTCTTTGCTCCCCGTATTCAGCCCTTGCTACCCTGTCATGTGGCTCCTCCCTACACAACACTGCTCCATCTAGCATTTATCCTACAGCTTCTGAGCTCCAATTCTCATTCATGCTATATTCATCTGATGGCTGGACTACAACAACGTTCCCTCCCTGGGAGTAAAAGTCTCATCACTGTTCCAAGTGCCAACTGGAAATGTGGAGCAATGAGATCTGGCTGCTACAGAAGCCCTCAGGGATGATACTGTGGGCATACTGTCTTCCCTAAGCTGCAATGAAACGTACCCTTCTGCCCACAGTTTTCAGCACCATTGGTGAGTGGACAGGTCCATGCCTGAATCTTCCACCTGGTAAGGTGCTTTTAAGAGGCATCTGTTTTTGCAAAGCCTTGTTTCTCCGGGATAGATTCCAGCACATGCCCCAAATGGCACTTGCAGGAGAGCTTGTTTCTGGTTAGTGCTTCCCTCTGGGAATTTGCACTATGGGAGCTGGAACATGTAAAAAAAACATGCTGACTGTCTTGAACTACCTGTTATAGATGTCTGTAACATTAGCCCCTGTGTGTAAAAGGCACACATGCATAGCAAGCATACGTACAAGAGATCTCAGCACCCATAAGCCAAACTACAAATGGGGGGGGGGCAGAGAAAGAATAAAAACTCCATCAAAAAAGAAAAAGAAAGAAAAAAGAAAGGCAAAGCAATATATTTCCCAGTCATGAGAAATTTCACAGGTATTGAGCAGCCCAGGAAACACCAAAAGTGTTTATCTGGAGAAGTGGAGAAGGAAATGCTGGTGGCTTTACCCATTAAATGCTGGTGTTGTGGAGCAGATTCTATGGGTGAAATTGTGGTGGGGAACCTTATCCTCATTGATCTTTGGGAAAACTGACTAGGGGTTGTTGCCATCAGTGGACAGAAGCAGGTGAAAATATGGGTCGAGTGTTTTATCTGCAGTCATGCCATTCCTTCATTCTTTTCTCCCCAGTCTAACATAAAAAGGCATGAAAAGAAAGCTGAGAGGTGGCCTTGCTGCAGTGTCCAGCAAGACAGTGTGTTTCCCACCCTAGGATTACAGGATCCAATGCATGTGGTTCCCAACCTTGGCTAACCCAAGTGTTCTGTGTGTAAAAGGCACACATGTATAGCAAGCATACAAGAGATCTCAGCACCCATGAGCCAAACTACAAATGGGGGGGGGGGCAGAGGAACAATAAAAACTCCATCAAAAAAAAAAAAAAAAAAAAAAAAAAGGCAAAGCAATATATTTCCCAGTCATGAGAAATTTCACAGGTATTGAGCAGCCCAGGAAACACCAAAAGTGTTTATCTGGAGAAGTGGAGAAGGAAATGCTGGTGGCTTTACCCATTAAATGCTGGTGTTGTGGAGCAGATTCTATGGGTGAAATTGTGGTGGGGAACCTTATCCTCATTGATCTTTGGGAAAACTGACTAGGGGTTGTTGCCATCAGTGGACAGAAGCAGGTGAAAATATGGGTCGAGTGTTTTATCTGCAGTCATGCCATTCCTTCATTCTTTTCTCCCCAGTCTAACATAAAAAGGCATGAAAAGAAAGCTGAGAGGTGGCCTTGCTGCAGTGTCCAGCAAGACAGTGTGTTTCCCACCCTAGGATTACAGGATCCAATGCATGTGGTTCCCAACCTTGGCTAACCCAAGTGTTCTTGGACTGTAATTCCCAGAAGCCTTCACCACCAGCTCTGCTGGCTGGGATTTCTGGGAGTTGCAGTCCATGAATACCTAGGTCATCCAAGGTTGGGAACCACTGATCTACTGGATAACTTCATGGTGAATGCTAGTTATGCAGGATCAGGTTTTGGATTAGAAATAATTGCTAAGGAGCCCAAAATGTAGTTGGGTGTGTATTAATGAAATGTGGACTACAATAAACATAACAGGTTACTGAACATTTCCTGCATTTGCTGAGGACTTGAGCATAGATGAGAATGGTGCTGCTGAGCTCAACAGGTGAGAGAATCACAGGGACGATCGATCGATGCTTGGTGTCTTGAGTGCCTGCTGTGTCCGCATGAGATCTGAAGCGCATTCTCTGGCATCTTCAGTTAAAAGCAGGTTGGAAAGCAAGGATGGGGCAAGATCTCGGTTTAATCATCAGGCGGCCCACTGATAAATGTTGGAACAGAGGGACCGATAATAATGTTACTTATACATTGGTCCAAATCCTGTTATGTAGCATAGAAAATCGCCTTGGGTCCTCTTATAGGGAGAAAGGCAGCTTACAAATAAAAATAAATAAACAAACAAATCACACTAGAGTCAATCCACTGAATCAATGGGGATTTAAGTGAGCCCAGTCCTCTGTATGTTCCATGGACTGAAATAAGTCTACTCTAACTGGGACTTACTTTTGCACAGTAAATGCTATAAGTAAATAAATTACTATATTAGCATAGTAAGTCACAGTTGGAGTGGGCCCTTTTGAATCCATGGACTTATTGAGGAATCGATTTGCTTTATTCCATAGGCTTACTTTAGTACTATGCTAAGCAACAGGACTTTTGTCATTTACTACTAAATTAAAAAAACCAAATGGTTTCTGGATGACATATTTACATAAGAAAAACAAAAAACAAAAACACTTGCCTGATCATTTATCCATCTCTTGAGCCATGCCAAAATAATATGTGTCCATACATACAGTGCAGATTTCCCTGCTGCAAGTTTCATCCATGTTGCTATTTTACTCCAAGTTGTGAATGATTAATCATTGATCATGCTCCACCCACTAATAGCACCCTGTCATTTTCTGCTTTCCTGTGACCTTGTCCCCATTCCTGGAATAAGATGGCGTTTTAACCTAGCAGGCCCAAGCAATATGAAATCCAGCATCTGGAAGCTTACAGTCAGATGAATTCAAGCTGGAAGTGAGAAGTGACTTTCTAATAGGGCGGGTAACATTGGAACAGATTAGCAAGGGAAGTGGTAAATTATCCAGCACTTGGAGACATTAACTGGAGCTTGGGAGAGTGCCCAAAAGATATGTTGTCATTCAGCTGCAAATGGTTTGGTTTAATGGAAAGATTACCAAGCAACACTCTTGTGCCCTGTATAGAGAGGTTATATAGAGAGGTCCATTTCAGTGTGTTTAAAGTCTGCATCCAAAGCAACCCCATGTTGCAAAACTGAACAATGGAATCAGGAGCTTGAGTTCTTGGCTGTTTTGCAGAAGGTAGCAAACCTACTAGACTCAGTTGACTTGACAAAAATATATATTTTATTATTTTCTAGAATGCTAGGAACAAGATTCAGAACACAATAAATCTAGGAGCAATAAGAACCTTGGTCCAGGCCTACAAAAATAGGAAACAGGCAACAATAAATATTTTATTTACACACATATGTAAAAATTACCAGCGATCCCAACCACTTTTTCAGTGCATATTACTTACAGGATTCTCCAAGTGAGAAGGTGAGAGAAAGTAGGAAAGAAAGAAATGCCTCCCTCTGCCCCATTTTCTTGTCCAAATGTTCCAGATGAAAGGCGTGCAACCACACACACACACACACACACACGTGTGCAACCACACACACACACACACACATCTGTATGTGCATGCACACAACTAGCATTTAGGTGTAGCTGTAAACATAAATAATACCATGCAACTTAGGGGAGCTGCCTGCTTGCCTTAGCACTTGAGAAGCAGTTGGAAAATTAATCCCAACAGTCTCTGACCAATCAGACCACTATATTGCCTGCAGCTTTGCATACATATGTGATGTCTGAGGATCGAGGAAAGCAGGCTGAGAGCAGAGCTTGGAAATATTACTTTTGTGGACTACGACCCCCAGAATCCCCCAAGTAGCCTGACCTCTATACATTCTGGTGGGAGTGGGGAGGGATTGTGGCATCATAGTCTAAGAAGTCTCCCCATGGGATACGCTTGACCCAGGCTGTTTTCCTGTGCCTAACCCATCTAAATAGAAGAGAGAGTTCCATAGAACCGTAACGGTGCTCTTGATGGGCTCACACTCATTTGGATGGGACTTGTACAGGAGAACCTCCAAGACACAGGCACCAGTCATGCTCAGCTCCAGACATAATTGGGTTATAGTCCTCAAAGCCCTGTGGATACAAGAACACAAAGCAGATTTTCTTTTTCTAAAAAGATGAGGGTCCCTCAAACACTTGGTAATCGCGTACAGTGTCTCATCTAGGAGAAGGAAAGTCCTTAAAGGCTACACTTTATTTGTAAAATGGAAGGAGTTAAGTTGTGTGTCACACACACATGCACACACACAGTTTTGATTGATTGATTGATGATTGATTGATTGATTGATTGATTGAGGACTATAGCTCCCCAAAGTCTCCAGCCAGCATGTCCACTGGCTCGAGGACTGTGGGAACTGTAGTCCAAAAAACCTAACATTTCCAAGTTCTGCACGGAAGACGCTTCCTGTGACCTGGAAGTTTGGCCAAATATTTCAGGACTGGAGGAGGGATGACAGGAAAGCCATCTGGCGTAAATTCAAAGGCGTTTTTCTATTCCAGCCACCTTGTAGTACTTGAACAACATCGATGGCAACAGCCAAATTTTCAACTAATGGTAAGAGAGCCTAAAATCTTGGATATACTGTAATGAGCTTATGTTGAAGATTTCTGGGGCTCTGCCCTGATGAAGAGATCTGTTTCAAATTAAGCCTGGCTTAAGAATTCTCAGTTGTAAAGCAGAGAAATAACCTGAACTCTAGAGGGCTTGGCTTTGGCAAGTACATGTATATATAAAAATCATCCTCCTGGGCTTCAACCTGCAACCCACTCAATGGTGTTGAGTCTCCACTCAAGCTGTGGAAGGAGAAACTTATTGTGAAGGCAAGAATCTGCAGATACTTAGCCTGCCTCCTTTCTGGGCCAACAGAGGGTGCTAAGCTCTTCGAACAAAAGATGGGGAAGGGGTGTAAACGTGGGCGGGGGTTTTGTTGGGGGTGGGCATTTTTGGATCCTTACATTGGAACAGGAATGTCTTTTTCCCCCCCTCTGTAGGGGAATGTCCTTCACTCTCCTTTCCCGCTCACAAGCACTCGTGCAACACTTGCATGTTGGTGCAGTTCAAGCAGCTGACATGGCAGCACCAGTGGAACGTGCAGTTGCAGCGCTCCGTGACCCGCTGCGTCCGGGTCCGGTACCCTCTCCCACAGCACAGCAGCTCGCAGCCGTCCAGGGCGGGCGAGGAGCTGTTGCAGGAGCGGCCGGCCGTGCCCACCGTTCCCATCTTGCCACTGTAGGTGCAGAAGTTGGGTGACTTCTCAAAGTAGACCAGGTCATGTGGGGAAGGTGGTTTGTGGGCTGGGTTCTCGGGCTCCAAGTGGTGCAGCTCCACCCGAGAAGCCCGGTTGCTGCCTTTGTTGCCATAGATGACCCGTGAAGCCCCATCAAAGCGGTCTTTGAGGAAGTCCCCTACGGTCCGGAAAGTGGGCAGCCGCATCCAGCAGGTCTTGACAGTGCAGGAGCCAGACATCCCGTGGCACTTGCATTCCTGGCGCATCTCCGTGAAAACTGTCTAAAGAGCAACCAAAGGAAAGGAGTCTGTTAGAGATACACATTTCAGCCTTCCAAGAGCTACCAGTATAGTATAGTGGTTAGTGCGCTGGGTTGCAGTTCTAATCTCTACCCCTCCGCAAAACCCAGTGGGTGCTCTCTCAGACTGACCCTACCTCACAGATTTGTTGCGAGGATAAAGCAAGACGGAAGGCACTCACGTCCAGGGCCTTGAACACACTAGAGTAAAGACGGACAAATAAATGTCACCAGATGTTGGACAAGTGACTTGTTTAAGTGACAGTTTCCAAATTCCCCCAACCAACAAGGCCTTGCTAACTGAGGAGGTCTGGAAACTATAGGCCAAACAAGTTACTTGTCCAAAGTCTGGCTACTTTTTTGTGCCTGAATACTTGGCTCCTCCATTGTACACTTTTGACATGTGGTGATTTTTAGCCAAGGTGTTATGAGAAAAAAAAAAAAAAAGGAAATCCAGGGTTCAAATCCTGCCCTTGTCAAAATTCACTATCTGATTTTAAGCAAGCCAGCACCGCTCAGGCTCAGCATTCTTTCGATCTCATCTGCAATATAGGGATAAGGGCACTAACCTACCATCCCTCACTGTTGCAAATATTATTGGTATCATGTTTGTGAAGTGCTGTGAACGATCTAAAGTTCAGTGTTGTTTTTTTTCTTCTTCTTGCCACAGATGAACATGTCCTGGATGCAGACCAAAGCAGACCAGGGGCGACCGGGACTCTGGTGAGATCCTGCAGCAGCCTTCCCAAAACTGACCTTCTCCAGATCCCTTGGGCAACATCTCCCAGGGCTCCCAAGTAACTAGCCAGGCTGGGCAATGAAATCCAAAAAATCTTGAGGCTGGGCAGGAAAAGCTGTCCCATGGCCCCTTCTTGTTCTGCATGGTTTCTCAGGACAGGGAAAAAAAGAGAGAATCACCTATTCCCACTGCATACACATAATTATCAACTGGGGAAATCCTGTCACATGATGTGGGGTGACGGTAAAATGCATAGCCTTGAAAAGGGAATTAGGTCAGGTTGTGCACGGCAGACCATCAATGTCTACTTGTTAGGATGGCTGTCTTTCAGAGCCAGGGTTCTTTTGTATACCAACTGCTGAGACAAATGAGTAGGAGATTGCTACAGCCCACATATCCTGTTTGTGGGCTTCCAGAAGCATCTGGTTGGCCACTAGGGGAAATTCTTCCTCAAATCTTCTTCCTCAATTCTTCTTCTTCTTCTGATCCAGCATGGCGATTCTCTTCTTTCTGTGTCTATCCCCACTCCCTTTGCTATTCCTGCAGGGAACCCTTCCTCCTCCCCCTCGCCGGGCCTTTCTCTCTGTCTCTATCTCTCCCCCCCGGTTGGCTTGCAAGTGGGAACTCTTTCCCCTGGCGCTTTGCGGGCTCTCCTCCCACCCGCGGAATGTGGCTACAGTCTCTCCAAGCCCACAGTTTTCCCTTCCAAAGGGGTTTTGCTGCAATTAGAAGAATTGGAACCATTTCCTTCCAGATGTGTAGGAGCCCACATGGCAGCCCGGCTTGTGGTTCTGGGCTTGGCTAGCAAGTATAAAGTTTGCCTGCTTAAGGGATACCTCCCCACCATTTTTTTTTTTTTTGCAGGGGGAGGGTTGGGTGGCAATCCTACTGTGGCAGCCCACTTCTCGCCAAGTGTTACTGCCACCCACATCATCCATCCCATGGCTGATTCCCTGCAGGAAAGCAAATGGAGGCACACATCTCTTGAATAGAGAAGCTCTCACACACATATATGCCCACAGGAAGTGCCACGTGCACTGCCAAGTCCAGACACAGGCAACTATCTGATTTCTTGTGCCTACCATCCCGGCACAAATTTGTTCATCGAGGCAGAGGCCTTACCCTCAGGTCAGGCAGCAGGGTGAGGACACCGTTAAGGGCAATGCTGTTCAACCTGCAGATCAGGGGCACCCATGGGACCGTGTTTCAGGAGAATGGTTTCCTACACACAACGTAGAGAGAAGAACAAGAGCTTGCAAGGCCATTCCTAACGTGTTGTTCCACAGCTCCTTCACAAGCCTTTGAATGAGGCTTGCGTGGGGGGAAAATATGGAATAATAAATTGTGCCCAGTGTCACAGAGTGGGAGGGCAGGACAGTCGAACTGGATCTTGTTCCACACAGGATGTCCACACAGCAGTTTTATGCTGGCTTCTGGGAGAAAGCTGAGAGGGATTAAGAAGAAGCACCTTGTTTGGGATGTCTGATTTCTTAGGGATCATGATGGCACTCTTTCAGGTCCTCAGAGATAAAAGGGGGCAGAATTTCTCAGCAAATGATAGAATTTGGTAAAAGCAACTCCTTGAAAGAGGTCAAAAGGAAACAGGAAGAAAGTGTGGAGAGGGGCCGATATCTACAGTAGTTTGTTTTTCAGCAACCTAGTATACATTGATCAGGTTCTATTTTTAGGACACAAGGGCACAATGGGTAAACAGACATATCGATTGGACAGGACTACAGATATATGACCTGTGGAATGGCCTGCCTAATTGAAGAGCATTGTGGAAATCTTTGCTTGTTTCAGAACTGTCTGTTTCCTGTTGCAAAAGTCCAGGGTGAGACTTTTGATTTGCTGTATATCTTTTTTTCTCAGTCTTTAGGTGAAAGACTGCTGACAATCTGGGATCATAGTGAGCTTCAACAAGAAGGCTGGTGGAAGACTGGGGCCAAATACTATACAGGGTTTTCTGAAGTGCTAACTGTGGCTAATTTTGCAGAACTTTCCAGATATGTTGGAATACAACCTATCATTCCTAATCAAACTGTGGATTATGGGGGCTGAGGTCCAATACATGCAACAGAACTTGAAATGTGTAGTAGATGACAACCAGAACAATCATGAGTCTGAAGCATCTTTCCTACAAGGAAAGACAAATGTGTTGTTGTTGTTCTTGCTTAAAGCAGGGAGGGGTGGGGCTGTAGCCTTCCAGATATTGTTGGACTGACATCAGTCCAAGTCAACACAGTTGATAATGAAAGATGATGGGAGCTATAATCCAACAAATTCTGGAGGGACACAGTTGCTCACCCTTGGATTAGAATAAAAGAGACAACCTTTTAGGGACATTATTATATTTCAGTCACCAAGCATGGGTATGAAAGCTAGCAAAGAAAGCTAACAGGGGAAAAATTGACTTGGACATCCTGGCTTCCCAGAAAGATGGATAAGTGGGTCCAGGATCAAATCAAGCCTGAACAATCTCTGGAAGCAAAAATCTTGAAACAAGCTGTCCTACTCTGGGCACATCATGAGAAGAAAGGATTCTCTGGAAAAGACAATATTGCTGGGAAAGGTGGAAGGCAGCAGGAAAAGAAGAAGACCAAATATGAGATGTCTCCCTAAAGAAACCCACGGTCTTGAGTTTGTAAGAGCCGAGCAGGGCAGTCAAGCACAGGAAATTTTGGAGGTGCTCATTCACGGGGTTGCCATAACTCAGAGCCAACTTGTTGGCACATAATAACAACAACATTGGGGGAAATGGGTAGTGCAATCTCCCAGGCGAAAGGGATTGGAAGTAGGTCTACATTTTTCACATCATACAGCATTAACTTACGGAACTTGCTCCCACTATTTATCTTGACAGTAATTCACTCAAATACAGTAGCATTTAAGGAGGATTGGGCAAAACAACACAGACAGCTCAGTCAATCAATGCAGCAAAGTTGAATCTTTGAGTTCAGAAGCGATGTGCATCACAGTGCAAGTGATTTGCAGCAACCTGTCGGGAAAGATTATTGCCTTCGGGGCTTGGGGGGAAAATGCTTTTTGGACAACTGGAATCCCCCACCTGATGGCCATGATGACAGGGCATTCTCAGACTTGTAGTTCAAAATAGAACTGTTTTAAGCTCTGTCCTTAATACTAATCAGCAGATTGTTACACTAGTCTTTGTTCAAGCTATTCTCCTACAAGGACTACAGCGATACAAGCTGTCCAGGCCAGCACCACTCGGGTGTCAGAAAAGGAGCTTACCATCCAGGGGAGGCACCCAAAGATTTTCTACAATGCTGCAGAAGGTATTATATGAGTCTGTGCAGACACTGAGAACAGGACTCTCTGCAGTCTTGTAAGGCAGTGGTTCCCAACCTTGGGTAACCCAGGTGTGTTCTCGGACTACAACTCCCAGAGAATCTGGCCAGTACAACTCGTGGTGAAGGCTTCTGGGAACTGCAAAAACACCTGGGTTACCCAGGGTTGGGAACCACTGTGGTAAGAGATGCTGCTAGCTGCAGAATGCACAATACAGCTGCTTCCTACAGCATAATGACTTTGGCTGCCACTTTGCAGTTTTATCCCAGGATATATGAGCATATGCACATGCACATGCTTGTGCATGTGTGCACATGCACAGACACACAAACACAGAGGATTAAACTGAACAACCATTTTTGTATGTATTGAAATCACTCACAGTTAATTCTTCAGCATCAGTTTGATAATCACATGCAACTACTCAGCAGCTATTCAAAACACAACACATCAACTTGTAATTTAAAATGATTTTTAAAGCTGTTTTGGTGTACTGTATGTGAGTGTGTATGTGTCAAGACTTGGTGAACTGTGGCCTGATTATATTTTAATTCATTAATGAGATCCATTCAACAAGTCTAACTGGCAGCAGAAGTCTCTGTGTTACCTATCGTTGGGTGAACATGGCCCTCCAGCCTCAATACACACACCTACATAATCACACATAGACAGTTCAGCACACACTTCCTGGCTCATATGCTGTGTCATATCCTACCAGACGTCCTGCCTCGTTGTTATGCAAATTCATCAGGAAACGCAGGTCCCGCCCCTTCTCATTGGAATCGACAAACTCTCGTCCAAAGACCCTGCCAAAGTCCACGTTGTCACTACAGCCACCCCAGTGCCAATCTGGACCTCCGGGCCCTCGACGTCGGTAGTCACAGGTGCAGGATTCAATGGAGCCTTCTGAGCATGAGCGGGCCACCGAATGTGTGACGCCAGCACTAGTGATAGCAAAGATAAAAGCAGTCTCTCGGCAACCTGGAGATGGGAGGTCAAGAGAGGATGAAAGGAGGACAGGTCAGTGCATAGCATAGAAGTCAACAACTCCTTAGTGTCCTTTCAATGAATGCAGAACAAGGCCCACACCACATGCAATAGTGGCCAATGTTATTGGCGGCATGAGTACCTGTAACATCTCTTCTCTCTCTTCCCTTCCAGTAAACTCTGGGGAAATACCTTGGAGACACCTTGAAAAGTGGACTTTTCTTGAAACAGGCAGAATATACGGTACCCAACCAAAATTCCCAACATGGAACCATATTCAAGCTTTGTTTTTGACAAGGTTCCAAAATGTTCAGAGTCATTCAGAATAGGCATTGTTTGCCATTCCATGCAATAAATGGGATGTTGCTATGCAACATTCAGAAAATACAAATACAACAAAATCATTGTGTGCCATCAAGTTCTTTCTAACTGATAGTGACCCTCCCAGGATTGCCTGGATATAAAGTATTTGGAAGAGATTTATCAGTCCCTCTTCCTAGTGTTAGTCTAGGGCTCTGCAGCTTGCTCAAGGCCACACAGGTGTCAGGGCACGTAACTCCATCAGCCACATACCCTTGGGGCAATCTCAGCTGCCCTTCTCCCAGGAGACATGGTGGGAATTTGGACTCTGCAGCTAAGTGCTCCAACCTACTGAATATTACACCCAGTTTTTGCACACATAGTTTGATCTATGAACATACAGATTAAATGCAGCATTCAGAAGAGCACAGATATATAGTACTGTTTTTAAATGCATTCCATTTCATCTTGAGGTTTAGGAAACACAAATTTTCTAAATTTATCTCAAAATTATAACGGATATGGAACACTATGGAACAAGTAATCCCTGACATTGCTTTTGCCCCTTTCCTTACCTCCCTACCCCCCTTTTTCCTTCTGTGCCTTATGAATTAGATTTTAATACTGCTGACTGATTTATGTTTGCTATATTAAAATTTTGGTACAGTGCCTAGGAATTTTAGGGCCTTGGGGTGCAATTTTACGTTTTCTAGAAATCAAGACCTTCTGAACATATTGGGACCTGCTTTCAAGTAAACATGCAGAGGATTCTGCTGTCGAAATAATTAGCTGGAGATTATTATCAAGCACGCTATCATTAGCTATACCCTCCCGCTGACACGGAACAGACTGGACAGCAGGAATTCAAGTATAGAAGCTCTTCAGTGATTCTGATCTTTCTTTCTCTACCTGTGAAATATGGGAGGACACTTCGAAAGTCCAATTTCCCTGAGAAGCTCTTGGGCTCCCCTACAGGTGTGATGGTGGATGTACCAGCTTCAACTCACTAGCATGGATTTTACATGTCTGCGGATATACTGTATGTGATCATCAGGAAGAGAATATATAAGAAATCTGTCCATTGCTATTTTGTCACATTTTTCCACACTTAAAAAAAGGATTAGAAGAATCTATTTCCTTTTGCTCTCTCATTTCTCCTTCTTGTCGACTTCTGTCAATGCATTACCCCATACTTTTTTAAAAGCAAGATCTCAATAGTAATAGCCATGTCTCCCATCTACTTATAACCTCCATTCCTGCTGTCAGCAGTGAGAAGATTAATGTTATACATTTCAGTTTGATCAGGTAAAATGACTTAGTAGAGCTCAGTGCCCACATGTTTACCTGAAATGTACCATACATCTTGGAAATACAGTATGCATATTTTCAAGGGCCTCAGTATATTTGTTAGCCCCAGGTAAAAAGCACAGCCATTCAATCAATGGAACTCACATAACTGTTGAGTTACCAAGTTTCAATGACTCTATCCCTTCTCTTTGGGATTAACTATTGGATTTATGCCAAGTTGAGCATTGTGCGGGCAGATAGTGGGTACTTTTATTCAACAATTTCAAGCTCAGTAAAATGCCGGAACTGGTAAAAGTTACAGTTTTTGGAGTACTGCTCCCAATACAGACTAGCCATCATCAAATTGGTGACTGGGACAGTGTGAGAACCATAGCTCAAAAATGTAACTTCTCTGAGATCTGCATTGTTTTCTCAGGCAAGAGAAAAGGGAAACTGGGCTTAATTGCTGGGCTGTGAAAATGAATCAGGAGAAGCTTCAGCAAAGAGTCTCTCTATCTTACATCCCAATCTAATTCCTAAAGGTGCTGTTTGTCTACACTGTGGTGTTGTCCCTGGTCATTTTGGGGTTGCTGCTGATCATTGTGGCTCTCCCCCCACACCATTTGAATAGATCATCCTAGTATTGGTGTAGATACATGGGGAGAGTATTTGTTACTGGATTGTGCTGGGATGCACTGGGTCTTCTCGGTACCACCTGTCCATACGCATCCAGAATTGCTCCCTGAGGTCTCATCAGGTTAAATTTTTAAGCTTTCACTTTTGTGCTACAGTACAACATGTATTTCACAGGGGAAAAATTACAAAGCAGAATGTGGGAATTGCTGATATCCCAAGGAAACCATAGGAGAGGCAGTAAGGTACAGTATGTGGTGTGTGTGTGTATGTGCAGAATGACTAGCCGAATCGTGCCCATGAGGAAGCATCATCAAAATACACCTACCCACAAAGCATCCACATGGTACTGGATTCCACAAGAGCAGATCATGCACTAGAGCAAATCTGAGCAAATCAGAAGCAAAATACAGCACAGCCTGGTAGTGGTGTAATCCCCCCTGGAAAACAAGGTTTCCTGTTCCATTTTGAGTCTTTTGACACCCTATGAACTGTGTATCATGTGGACATTGGGATGCATTAATGGCATAATGAGTGCAAGGAAAGCTAAGCAAATGCTCCGTGCGGGTGGGCTCTCAGAGTATGCTCAGCGTCTGTCAGACTACAAGATTTGAGCCATGTTTTACATCCCTCGGTGCAGTTCTAGTGGAGGATAAGAAAGCTGGGGAGGTTTTCTACTGCATCTCCCAACATCTCTAGCCAGGAGGGATTCTGAAAGTTGCACCTGTCTTAAGCTCTGCTCCTGTCCCTGGGCAAACTGTCAGGGCTTTTTTTTTGTAATGGCTGTGAAAACTTGACTGTGTAACCTGGAGGATCTGCCTGCTGCAAAATAGGCCTTCTCCCACAAATGGATTCCCAGTCATGCTGCTTCCTGCCTGCTGATTGGTGCACAGATGCTTGGAATGTAATAACGTCTTTTCATGAGAGATGCTGTGATTGGGGGTGGGGAGGTTGTTGCTCTTGTTCCTTGTGCTGCTGTGCTTTGTGAGAGAGCTGATAAATTGCCAGTGCCTGATCAAACACTGACACCATTTAGAAACTGCATGTTGGCTTGGGGATTCTGGGAAATATAGACACCCCACCCCAAAAAAACCCTTTCAAGCTCTGAATGCTGACTCAGCTTGCTCTTGGTGCAGCGTCGGCCATCTTGCCTGGACCAGAGGAATGACGTGTTCGGCTTCTCCCCTTCAGTGTTTCAGAGCTGGAGGAATTCCCCTGTTCTAACAAGATCTCTGTAATGGCCGGTGGTTCCTTGATTCAATACTGGCAGTGGAGATATGCCAGACCTGAGGACAGCAGGGGAGTTTAGAGCAGTGGTTGCTAACCTTCAGTCCCTGGATGTTCTTGGACTGCAGTTCCCAGAAGCCCTTGCCAGCACAATTAGCGGTGAAGGCTTCTGAGAATTGCAGTCCAAGAACACCTGGTCACCTAAAGTTGGCAACCAGTGGTTTCGAGGATTATCCAGCACCCACAGCTCTGCCTTCAAAGACAACAGAATGGCCAAGGGGCTCGAAACAACAAAGGAACGGTTCTCACCCACTCACCCCAAAATCTGCTACCTGAGGGAACTTCCTCCTTCTTCCTAACAGTAAGGTCAGAAGTTAGCTCTGCTCCCTTGGGATGGCAGCCTGAAATGATCTTTAAATCTGTTGCCTGATGGAACAGAATCCTCTTTCGAACTGACTCAGCTAAAACGTTCATCAACAGAATGCTCACCCTTCATCCATAATTCTTTTGCTGGGAAGGAAGGGGGAAGGGCAAGAAGGAGGGCGTATTAGAGTAACAAAGCTTGAGAGTTTGTGGGAAAGGAATGTCTTTCCTTTTCATGGGGGGGGCGGGAAATAGTAATAATGACTTACCATAAAAGCTAAAATAATACATGATGCCTGATGTACAAATCCCAGCTGTTAATTTGGTGGGATATATGCCGGGCTGTGTTTATATGTTGATCTCAGAAGTAAACTGTTTTTTTTTTGCACACAAGAGCTATATATTTGAGTGGCCTCCTCCTCAAGGCAATCTAAGTTCTACTTTTCCAAGGGTCTGTTTCACATGAACATGCATCACCCTTGTGGTGCCTTACTTCCTCCTGATGAGGAAGGGGCAGAGATTATGGTAGCAGTTGTCCAAAAATACTAGGAGGGCTAGAGCCCCCCGCCCCGGTTGGGTTGTCATGAGGACACTATGGGGCACATGCCTGTAACATCTATTTGTGCTACCCTGAGTTCCACAGAGGAATGGTGAGGGGGAAAAAATACAATGAATAATAACAACTCAGAGGCTGGAAAAGCAAGCACAGTTATTTCACCATTGGCTATGCAATAGGGCAGTATTTCCAAGACAACACACACACATATATATATATTGTATGAAGATGAGAGGAATTTGATAATCATGGGCTCAATTTGTGTCACTCTAGTGACAGAATACTCTTTGATCCAGTGGAGAATCAGAACAGAATTGGGGAGGGGAGAGTAACTTTTAGGGGCTCATCTTCTCCTCTTTCTGAATCTCCTCCTATGCTGTTCCAAAGGATCTCCAACCCTCTGAAATGCATCAAGGGGGTGGCAAGGGAGAGGAAGAAATAGATTAAAATTGCTCCTCTCTTTGTTCTGCTGATGAAAGCCAATGGTCACACTGGTTGGGGGATTATGGGAGTCATACTTCATCACATCCATGAGTGCTAGACAGGGGCAAGCTGCAATACATGTGCTGTCATTGTGCACATGCATCCTGATGGCTGAGTTGGTGTGGTGTAGTGGATACAATTAAGAAACAGGACATGAGAGATCTGGGTTCAAATCCCTGTTTGGCCATGGAAACTCACTGCTCTCTCTCTCTCCCTCCCTCCCTCCCTCTGTGTGTGTGTGTGTGTGTGTGTGTGTGTGTGTGTGTGTGTGTGTATCTAATAAAACCACTTAAATATCTCATAAACTTTGGAAACCTCATTAGAATTCCCATAAATCAGATGTGACTTGACAGCACATAAGTACAACATCCCAAGGACTGAGGCAGGTGACCCCTTGTAATTATCCCCTTGTAATTGTGCTGCTGACGAAAGAACAACAGCCATGTTTCTGGCTTTGGCAATGCAACTGGTTGGCCTGATTTTAAAGAGAAAGAGTGTGTGCATGTTTTCCTGTTAATGAATCTATCTATCTATCTATCTATCTATCTATCTATCTATCTATCTATCTATCTATCTATCTATCTATCTATCTATCTATCTATCTATCTATCTATCTATCTATCTATCTATCTATCTATATATTTATCTATCTATCTATCTATCTGTCTGTCTGTCTGTCTGTCTGTCTGTCTGTCTGTCTGTCTGTCTGTCTGTCTGTCTGTCTGTCTGTCTGTCTGTCTATCTATCTATCTATCTATCTATCTATCTATCTATCTATCTATCTATCTATCTATCTATCTATCTATCTATCTATCTATCTATCTATCTATCTATCTATCTATCTATCTATTTATTTATTTATTTATATGCCGCCCACACTACCCAAAGGTCTCTGGGCGGCATATAAATTTATCTGTGTTATGCTGTTTGCTGCTTGCTGATAGTAGAGTTTCTGATTATTGTTTGTGATCTGTGCTTTTAGTTGCTTTAAGCAGCAGAAGTCTGGGACAGAAATATTATTATTGATGTAACAATGATCACAACAACAATAATTCATTGATTGCAATCCTGTTGTGTAACTCAAAAACAGGGCCAAGGTGAAAGTGCTGACCACAAAACACTTCCGTTAGCACATTGCACAATTGGTCACAGCTGTAAGTGCGGGAGTAGTTGCACCATTGAATTGCACAATCTGCTTTGCTAAATGTAATGCTGGGCGTAACTTTTTGTTACTCGAAGATAAACTGGATTCCAGTCACAATGCACATGCTCAAGTTGCTTAAATCTCATTGATACCAGTTGGCTTTTACAAGCCCAGTTGTGTGCAAGATTGAAATGATACACATTTCCTTTTCCAGGACTGCTACTAGCGTCTTCTTCTTCTAAATACTGTATTGTTCTTAATAAATGTTTAAGCTGCCCAAATCCACTTCAGCCACACCCCAACAACTGCTGTTCAGTTTCCCAGAACAAAATTGTATTGTGAGGGCAACTTTAATGACATAATCAAATCTAGTCCCTGCAAACAAGAAACCAAACACCAAAATCAGTAAACTGCTTTTGTATATATTTTGTCTATTTATATCCTAGGACTTCTTTAAGAAGTTCCGAGTAATTTATATCAGGAGTGTGCAGTGAGAAGACTTCAAGCCTCCATTGAACAAAATGGATTTTTAAAAACATGCATCGAATGAGTTCTGAAGGATTTTCTGATCCTTGAGAATGTCAGGGTATTCAGAATTAGAATTTTATGTACACATCTAGCATTTCCTGAAGCCATTGAGAATTCTCTTGGTCCCCGCCTCCTGCATGAGGCCAGACTACAATAAACAGTGCATTTTACTTTTGCTTCTCCGCAACAAAGTAAAGCAGTATGAGATGGTTTTCTTTGTGTCATGTTAACATGGGCTGAGACAAAAAAAAGTACTCCAATTACAAAACGCAGTAGATTTTGCTATAATTTGTTTTCTTATTCTAGCTGGGGGTTTTCCTGTCAAAAATAACTGCACAAGGCAAACAGTTGAAACTCAGAGACATTATTTACAAATGTTGAAGTGATAATGTCATAAAATGCCTAGTTTTGTATGATTTAGTGCAGCAAATTATGTCTCTTGGAGTAAGAATATCCTGTCAAGCTGAATAAAGGTTGAAAAGCAAAACTAGCTTCCTTAGGTCCACAAACTGAAGCCTAAAGCAAATAGCATATACTTAAATTTAAAGCATTCTGAGTCCAGGAATTTTGTCATTTCAGCAGTATGATTTAGAGTGAGAGTCATCATTTTTGTTGTTGTCATGGAATTCTGAAATCCCTGCCAATCTACTGCAAATCAACCAGAAATGAAGCAGTAGATCCAGATCTACCTTCTGTTCACCCCTACCTTACAAAAGGGCTGTTAGGCAGCCTCTGAGTCTGGCCAGCAGGTTGAGACTGGTCAGGATTTAATATTACAGGCACAGCAGCGTGGCCTTCAGAACAGTTTTGCTGGCCATTATTTTCTAGAGCCCTATGTGTGAGAGAGGGGGGGTGTTGTGTCTGTCTGTCTGTCTCTCTCTCTCTTCCCCCCCCGTGTGTGTGTGTGTGTGCGTGTGTGTTTGTAAAAAGTCCTGTGGTGAACGGACACATGCTATGGTGCAGATTCATTGTTTGGAAAGAGGGAAAGGGAATGGAAGGGGTAAGGAAAAAAGAAAAAGACTCTGTACATGAAGTAGAACAAACAATGGAGAGGAAAAGAGATTCTGATTGGAATTCTGCTGGAGTTTCTTTGCCAACGCTAATTGCACCTAACTGTTGAGGTGCAGCTCTGTTGCACACTCAGGTACATGATCAGATATGTAACTGAAGACACATCCCCGTTCCTCCTCAGTTACCTGCAACTTCCAGAAACCTGTAGGGAACATCAGTAGAATCCTGACCACCCTGTGAGAATCTTTTCAGCATTATACACAGCTAGTGGCCGCGAACAGTAACAAGGTCTCCAAGTTCTGGTATCCTTTCAACTACACTAGACTTGTCCCAGAAAAGGGAAGAGACCCCCATCCCCAGCTTCTTCTTTCTCCCCCACCCTCCATCTCCCAAAGCCACCCTTACCTCTATTGACAATCTTGCCGAAAATGTTGGGCCCCGGCATGGTGGGGCAATTCCACCGCCGGTTGCGGAACTGCCACTTGCATTCCTTGATGGCGCTCTGCAGGCCGCTGCTGATGCTGTGGAGGATGCCGGGGTTCTGGCGGATCAGCTTGCGCTGCTTGCGGCTCAGCAGCTGCAGGGAAGGGTCCAGCACCAGCTGTACGTTCTTGGAGTCCATCAGAAGGTTGGTGGAGGAGGCCACGTTGATGATTCCCCTGTGGGCAAAGAATGGAAGGGCCTTCAGTGTTGATGGCGACAGCTAGAACACAAAGTTTCAAATATTTGGAATGTAACTGCTGTACATTTTAGATTTCCCCAGGCAGAACTGTGGAATGTGAAATTCCTAATTTAACATTTGAACGCCCGCCTTTGAACACTGGCAGATTGGCCAGGAACCAATATGGTGGACCATGGGCAGGCCTGCTTCCATAAGTGAGAGAGTTGATCTCTTGTCTCCTGGGCAGCAGCCTGCCCCTCCGGAACCCCAAAAGTCATCTGTGGAGAGTTCATAGACCTTTTGGAACAGCTAATGATTACAAGGAGATAAAGAATATTTCCTCATGCAGCATCAGCATCACATTGGTTTTATGCCATTGTTTATACATAAAATGTGAATTATTTAGACTGTGTGATGATTTGGTAAGCATCAAATACGAAATCTCATTAGTTTTCACCTAACAAATATGAAATATTATTGCACTTCAACTATTGCATCTTGGGGCAAGCTACGTTCCCATTGCACATTAAATATTTTATCTCTGTGGGCTAAATCTGGTTGTTCATCCTAACTAGATTTATGCATGTGAATGCATAAGTATTGGGAATGCATAAGGAATTGCATTATTGACTAAAATCCCATTCATTTAATGAATCTACTCTTTTTGGAATTAATTATTGTTTCAATTCAGTTGTACCATTCCATAAATTGCTCCAAAAAAGCTGCCAACAATTAAAATCAGTTAAAGGAAGAACAACAAATAATAAGAACCAAAGAGACAAGCATAAGAAGTGGTAACAACCATAAAAATACATGTCAAATCAGTTCAAAACTTAGAAATGGAAACTTCCTACAGGCTGGTTTATTGCTGAAACTATCATAAGAATCACCTAAAACAGTGGTTCTTAACCTTTTTGAAAGAAACGCCCCCTTGAGCCATTGAAGAAGTTATCATCGCCCCCCCCCCACGGTGATGATATCTTATTTATTTATTTATTTATATTTATTTATTTATTTATTTATTTATTTATTTATTTATTTAAGACACTTAAATCCAATGACCTCTGAAAACAAAATTCAATTCCAAGAAAATGAAATGCTCCCAAAAAGTAACATTTAATTATTTAGTTGTAAGCGAATTTTAAGATGCAAAAAGAAATATAAAAAGGGCATAAAAACAAACCGCAATGCAGGAACTAAAAATTTCAAGACAAAAACTCTGAAACTAAATTAAGATTGGAGGAAAATATATATTCATGCACACTGTAAAAAGGCTGCAGCCATCTTCACAGGTTTGGCTTGCTCCAGCGCCCCCCTACCGCCCCCTTCTGCTCCAGCACCCCCACGCCGCCCCTTTTTGTTCTACTGCCCCCCTGAAAAATGAAATCGCCCCCTGGGGGGCAGTATCACCCACGTTAAGAACCACTGACCTAAAACATACCAAAGAAAGAAACTGAAACTGTTAACTTGGATACCTTTCTACAAAGAGTGAGACTTTGCTGAGAGGCGGAAGGTGGAAGACTTAAAACAGCAAGTAAGAAGGGCCTCCTTAGGCAGGAAGTTCCAGAGCTTAAACGCAACCACAGTTGAAGGCCCTCTCTCTAGTTTTAACCAAATGAACATCAGACCTTGGTGAAGCATTCAGCAGTCTCTCCCCTGGTGCTCTCAATGAACAGACGAGTTCATAACAAGCCCTGAAGCCATAAATATTAACGAGTAGGACCTTATCATTGTGGAGGACCGAATGGAGTTACTCCCACTTCTCTTGGGGAATCTGCATGATGAGCCATGAAGAAATGATCTCAGTCACCGGACGCCTTGGCTCCACCAGTGGCATCAAGGCCTATAGACAGGGTCTCAATCCAGTTATTAAGCGGGAGGAGAGCCACATGTTCCCATTTTTAGCCAGATGGCACCGCAAATGTCTGGAGCATTGCCAAAAGTAAATTTCATAATATGTTTGAAATCTGGTATATTTGGCATGCCTGGAATGTGGAACGACTTGTGCGAGAATTTCCTTTCCCCAAATCCTATTTCATCAAAAGAGTGCGGAGAAGACTGAAACGCCGAGCGAATCCCACGAAAAAAAGGCATTGGGCAGGGCAGGCTCCCATAGCCAGCTGGCACACAAAGAGTTCTAGCAGGGAGCAGCTCGGGTAGGATCATTTAGAAGGCAACCTTCCCTGTCTTTCTGCAGGAGTCCAGTCCGCCTCTGGACCACCCCCCCACCCAAGGCCATCAACACCACCAGCAGCCCCGCAAAGCCCTGCCCTAGTCTGACAGTCACTTTCCTCTCTCTAGCACTGCCCTTCCAGATGTGTTGGGATGGCAGAGGCCGTAACTAGCCACTCAAACCCTACAGCACCCCTTCACCACGGTAGTTGTGGATGATGGCAGCTGTAGTCCCAATGTATCTTAGATTAGATTGTGGAGAGCTGTCTACGAGAATTTCTGCTAACTGCCATGGTTAATATGTGTGGATGGACCTAGCCTTTTCTGCCCAATTTTAAAGGCTATTAAAGCCGAGGAATCTAGCAGCCATTATCAGATCTTTTGACAGAGAATTCTATATGTTCGTGATACACTGTGTGAAGTAGTAGTTTCTTTCTCTTTTTACCCCGCCCCCCAAAAAAACAACACAGAAAAATTATGGTCTTGGATACGGAGCAGAATACATCATCATCAACAATTTCAACACAACCCATTGCTACTGTTTTTATTACATATAAACATGTATAAATATAAATAGCAATTAATAATGGTATGCTATGTATATTATATTGCTAATATATGAATAATATAATTAATTGTTATTTTGTCAATAATGTAACTAAAATAAAAATAAATGTATGATGATTAATGTTTATGTTTGGGTGTATGTTATGACAACAACGATAACCAGCTTTGTATTGAAATCCATATGAAAGACTTCTTATAAGTAACTTGTCCTATTGATTTCACTGGGGCTTCAATGCAAGATGTACAGGTGGACCCTTTAAAATATATACAACAATTTCATTTTTCTCCTCATCAGCCTCTTCATCCAGGGCAGAGTCTAGAGGCAAGTCAACTGAAAAATAAGAGGAACAACACACTAGCAACTCATCTTTAAGTCGCATGTGCTTCAGGGTCGGCCTAGCCATCATGCCCCACCCAGTGGAGGCTTCTGAAAACAGCACCTGTGCGGTAATACCACATGCAGTGGTTGCAAACTGCAGGTGGCTCCTTGCCACCTGGCTCCTAGACATCATGCGAAGAGCTTCCGTAGTAGCACCTCGCATTCAGCATGTGTCCTGGCAATGCTGTCCTGTCCACAGGATAGAGAGGATCCACATATTAAGACATTCCACACGCCAAGCAGATGCTATGGGGAACAGCCTCAGTTGGTGTGACTTAAAATCAGAGGGAAGGGAAGGCTGACATAGGTCATAGGACCCTCCTCGTGGATTGCACTTCTATAAAAGGCCATGTTTTTTTGTTTCAGAAAGTATTGGTTGAATTGGCGATCCAGTGGTATCTGGTAATATGGTTGGTGCTAATTTCTGGTAATGGCCATAAACTGCTTTTAATTCTTTTCATTTTTAAGAACTAGATCCTATCACTAGCTGCTTTTATGCCTGAAGGCGTGGTAAATAGAAACTGAAATAAATACAGTAAATAAATGTAAATTGGTGCTATCTTGTCCCTTAGCTCTTAGTATTATTTGAAGGTAAGCTGCTGACTGGTTCTACATGCCTAACACTTCAATCCACAACTTATGTATAAATCCACATGCAATTTATGTTGCTCTATTGATGCTGCTCTGTGACTTATTACTAACAAGTAACTTGCAGATTAGAACTTCTACAGCTAGAGTACCAACCAAGCAACATGTGGATAATGTTTCACTGATGGAACTATTTATGTACTTCCTAAAGAGCTATAGTCCTGAAATTTGATATATAGATGGCTCAACACATCTCTGTGAGTAGAAAAATCTCTGAAAGAGAACAAAGGTATTTTACCTCCTCAGGCTCAAATTGTGCTCCTCACTATTTTGAAGATGCTTTCAGGAAACCAGATAAGCGAAAATTTGGCAATCATGCAACTGACGAAAAATAGGAGAGAAAGATTTGTATACATGTCTCCCTCAGGGCCAGCCTAAGCCATTTTCCTACCTGAGGCAAAGCAATTTAAACACAGGGACTCTTACTTTGATTAGGTCAAATTGCAGAATAACCAGGGCTAGCCAATTTTGGCATGCAAGGAAGAAATTCCCACAGACAGACCTCCTCGCCCTAAACATAGGATCATCATCATCTGCCATTTAATAAGTTCTGATGGATTATCTTTAAATAATAATAAAATACAAAATTGAGTAATAATTATTGAATGACTAACAATTTACTATCTTTTATTGACAATCAAAATTTCCTGCCTGAGGCAACTGCCTGATCAGGCTAGCCCTGCAATGTGATGAAAAGGCAAGATCTGCACTTCTGAAAGATTTCTGGTACTCTGAGGTGGCCCAGAAAGCTAGATATTGAGGCACACAGGGATGATTAAAACTGCCTCAAAACAGGGCATGTCCACAAGTGACAGCTGAAGTCTGACGTGTACAGACGTCCGTACAGTAGGCCAAGTCTCAAGCTCTGCAAGGTGGAGTATTTGGGCAGGTAACCATTATATGGATCCTCCGTATGGACTCAAAAGAGGCGTTCCATGTCGTTGTTGTTGTGAAATGTCAGGTAGAATTAAAACTTCGCCACTGCTGAATTTATGTATTTGCATCACGAAAGACATTTTGGCCTCGCTAACACGCTCACTGGAACAGGAATGGCACAATTGTTCATGCACTTTCTGGTGGGCTAGAATCCTAACATTTTGGAGGCATGTCATACAAGGTGTACAATTACCATGTAGAAGTGTGGGAGCTGCAGTACCTCCTCAGACTTATTGTGGTGACCTTATATATCGTTAAATAGTTTCTGATTTTTGATGACCCTAATTGGTTTTTTTATGCCTGTGAGATGCTCAAGGAGTATTTCACCTCAATTCCCATGACTGAATGAGGATCTGAGTGTGGTTCTCCCTGAGTCCAGGTCCCCCTGAGTCCTGCTCCAACATTCTACCTGCTGTATCACACTGGCTCTCACACTTGCAGATTTACACTTAATTTTCATATTCCAAGATAAAGTAAAGCTACCCAATTCATTCTGCTGCATTAAGCAGTTGCACATACTAATAAAGGATTTTGCACACCTGATGCTGGCTACACTAAAAGTCATCCTAGTCTCTTGGAAATTTGCATTTTCAAAATGTGAATGCTCCAAGTAACCGGTTAGATGGATTTTGTAGTTCTACAGGCCGCTTCTCTGTACTGGAGCTAACAAATGATCCACACAAATGCTGGACTATAATATCTTTATGCCCGAGGATTAAAGCAACCAACTGCAAGTGAATGTACAAGGCAATACAATCCAGAATGCAAACACAAAGTACAGATGCCTCTCCTCTGCTATCAAATTCATAAGAAGGATGATCCGACATGTGCTTAAAGAGCAGAGGAGTAGCTTGGGCTTGAAATTTGGCTGGCAGGATTATTTGGGACATTGTAGTTCAAAAAAAGTAACTTTACCAGGTTCTGTCCAGGATCCACTGGTAGCCTTGGGCTGGTCCGCTAAAAATTATCTACAGTATTTCATAGATCTACCTTTGGGAGTAATGAATTCCAGAAACATTGTCACTTACTGGGAGCACGGCAGGATTTTTAAAAATGCTACTGGGAGTAGAAGAGAAAGAGAGTAGCAGTTCTGATAGTCCTATCAGTGGTAGAGGAAGAAATGCTAGAAAGAATGAAAATTTTGCAACAACAGATGCAAAGGAATAAATAGCAGCAAAAGTGCACAATTTATTCCCCAGACTGAACACCTAGCCTCCTAACTTTTTAACCTGTATTTTTATTAACAAGTACTGGAAGGCCATGATACTACTCCTGTGCAGCACCACTGATGATATTGGTGATGCTGCATCTTGTTAGTAGTTTTTCTAAAAAAAAACCTGTATGGCCCGATCATATCTACAAATCTAATCCTAGCAGCAATTTGACTGGAAAAGGTTTTGTTGCGATTTCTTGTTTCGTTTTGTTTTGTTTAAATTCCATCAGAGTGCTTCCTGTAGGCGACAGACCCAAGCCTGCCCTGGTCTTTGGCTAGAACAGAATCCTTCAGCAAAAGGCCAGGCGACATAACGAGCCTGCGGTTGGGCATCCTGCAAGCCAAAACCACGTTCAGATCGCCAGCGTGCGCCCCCTCGGATCTTCGCTTCACTGTTCATCCACCTGGGCGCTTGGCACCACTTTAAGACGCTCTCAGGCGGGAGCACCCCGGAGAGGGCTGCAGCGCAGGTGATCTTCCTGGAAGCCGTCCTGCGGCGTTCTCGATCCCACCTCCTCCCGAGTCCCTGAATTTTGGGAAAGGTTGCCAAAATAGCGCAGCCGCGCGTAAAGCGCACTTACCACCATCGGCCGCTGTTATTCACCGCCAGCGTGTTGGAAAGCGAGGAAAAAGCCAAAACCCACAAGGTCTTCAAGCCTAGCATTAATGCCACGGGGCTCATCGCTTCGCCTGCCCTGCCTGCCTGCTCGGCGGAACCGCAAGGGGGGGAAAAGCGGAGCGAAAATGGGTGGGTGGAGGGAGAGGTGGGGTGGCGCGAAACCGTCTCCAAAATCTTTGCGGGCCAGGCGCGCACCGGGCGCCCAGGAAAAGGGGGGCGTCCTCGCTTGCGAAGAAAAAAGGTTGAGTCCCGATCCAAGTTTTAAGAGGGAGGATGGGACAAAGAGAAGTTGAAACGAAAAAAGTTCTCCCCAAGAACCGCTCCAAGGGTTTCAGTTTTTGGCAGTTCCGTCTGGTGGTGATGATGAGTCTTCCAAGGTGGAGCAGAGGAGAAAGGGCTAGCGCGAGGGGAGCGGTGCCTGGCGCCCTGTGAGCCCGGGGCCTCTGGCAGCAGCTCTGCGATCCCCTCGCCCGGACCGGCTTCTTATAGAGGCTGCGAGAAGGGTCGCCATGGAATGAGCCATCCAGCCAGGAAGCCCCTGCGCGGTGCGCTCCCGCGAACAATGCGCCCTTGCGAGGTGGAGCAGAGGAGAAAGGGCTAGCGCGAGGGGAGCGGTGCCTGGCGCCCTGTGAGCCCGGGGCCTCTGGCAGCAGCTCTGCGATCCCCTCGCCCGGACCGGCTTCTTATAGAGGCTGCGAGAAGGGTCGCCATGGAATGAGCCATCCAGCCAGGAAGCCCCTGCGCGGTGCGCTCCCGCGAACAATGCGCCCTTGCGTTGC